ATCGATATTTAAACAGGGTGACCCCTTCAGTCGCAGGACTGGTATCAACGGGGGCCCTGTATAATGTAAAATAAAAAGAGCATGTATAAATAATATATATCTATAAAAAACTAACTACATTAAAAGATACGCTAAAATGTTTAAAAAATTAAAAAGCTTAAAAAGGTAATAGCGTTCTCATAAAAATTGAATATCGAATTGAAAATGTTCTAAAAAATAATCTAAGAATAATAAGCAATGTATTACAACAAGGGAATGAAGTAATCACACTTGAAAAACATAAGGAAAACACTGATCTAATTAGTGAATCACTGTATTGGAACAAATAGGTATCATCTGGGTGGTTGACGCTGGAAGGAAGGAACCACCCTTACAAGTCAGGTTCCCCTCCCGTTTCATTCATTGTTTTGAGAAACAACATGTATCTTTTGTTTTGGCTTCAAGAAAAGAACTGCAAAGAAAGCTGCTAGATAATATATTTTTGCATACATTATTTCTCGACCAAGCAAAAGCCAGCGAAGAGAGGGCAATGATTATCAATAAAATTGGTTGGCTGGAATCTAATATACTCCTTTAGAGCACACACCTTTCTCCCGTGCATACTTTGTCAAGTTATAATACAGGTGAGCTACACCACTAGTTTGAGCATGCACAATGTCTTGACACTCAAAAAGTGCTTGAGGCACTGCGCTGAACAGTCTGTTGCACCTTGGTCTTTTCTGTGCACTTTTTTCATGTTCTTAAAATTTGTGTCAACTTGTTATAAATGCAAAATGTACACACACATATATATATTTTTAACCCCAGCATGCAGATAGGGTAACCCACCTACCCGGGTAACCCTAGCTGCCTCCTAGACACGACTAAGAAAAAAAGAGGAAATGTCAGAGTGCTAGGATAACCCGCTTGCTAGGGTAACCCTCCTTCTTGTAAAAAGACCCTTAGAAAGGACATCTGTTACTTGCATGATCATATGGGAAATAAATTAAATATTAACCTCATTTGTGCAAATCAAATGAATTGTAGTACAAGACACTTTCACATTTATCAAATCAAATAAAAATTAAAGGTTAAAACATATAGACTGTAAGTGTACCGTATTAAACTTCTGATTAATGAAACAACAGAAAGACGACATTTCGTGTCTCAGTCAGACAACAAAAGCTTGCATGACGTAAGACGTTAGAAAGAGGAACCCTGATGGTCAAGCACGTTTAGTACAACTTGCACAGTCTTAACAGAACAAAATAAGACAACCATACCAAGCCTGATGGATTTGTCGTTAAAACTGACGATGGGAGAGAATTCCGATGAGCCATATTCCACATCAGGCGAGGAGTAGGTCGGTGGAGGCGGTTGAGCCGAAGGAATAGGTTGTGTTTGGTACGGGTAATTTCCATATGCATTGGGGGCTGCTGGCTTGCCTCCCGTCCCCACAGCCGATTCGTATGTCGGCGGAGGAGGGAAAGCTGGGTTGGAAGCTACCGTTTCAACGTCCGGCGGATAGGCAGCTTGGATGGAAGGCGGAGGGTAACCAGAACCATAGTTCATCATTGCTGGCGGAGGATATTGACTCATAGGCTGCTGTGATGGGTAAGGTGGTTGGTTGTTACCTGGTGGATGCGGAGGATTTGTCGACATAACCGCTTGTCAGATCAACAACGTTCCCACACTATCAAAGAGGAGATAAATTAACTTCGAGGAATACGAAGCTGGCTGTGAGGAAATTTGGCACCCCAGAAGACTATGACCGTCTCGCCAAATAATGCAATGGGCGCCAGCTGCAAGGCTGGAGCTCTTTTCAGGTCGTGACGTAAGTCACGTGGCTCATTACATTCACGTAATTCATGACGAACAATATTCGCCCAACATTTGTTTCCTTTCAACTTTGAACTGTTTGAAATGAATCTTGAAAGTTTCAAAGGATTTTAAAATATACACGCCACGATCGAGAAAATTTAATAAGTGCCCGTTAAATATGAGGTGAAATTTTTGATAAGTGAAAATTGAATAAGATGCCGTACTTTTAAGTTGTCGTAAAACTTTCGTTTAAGATGGTATTTAAGCTTATATTTGATAAGTTTACTTTGCTGTTTTGCAGAGGATGGGTAGCTCAATGTACCAAGAGGATTTAAAACACTGCATGCAGAACTGAAAGGAAATTTTCCACGGTTTATCAGTTTACGTCATTGTCATTTCTGTTTTGAGAAGTGACCGGAGGTTACATAATTAATGTGTGCGCATGCATGTAGAGTATTTATTTTCTCCTTTTGTATCTAAGTGGGAGCAAGAAACTATGACTACGTTGTGAGGTAAAATACTATTGTAAGCCGTTCAAACTCTCAAAATGGTGAAATATAGAACGACTGAAAAATGTTTAATCCTCTCGTAACAGTATTGACCGACTACCCACTCCAGTGAAGGCCGGAAGAACAAGAACAGGAAAATAAATATATCTTATTAGATGTTTTGGTGTGTAGTATCGCTGTATATTTTTACGAGTTTTGCCGTATTTTGACGAGTCCGTAGGGCGAGTCAAAATACAAACAACGAGTAAAAATATAAAGCGATCCTTCACACCAAAACATTCCGGGGGGTACTCCCAGAAAAGTTGGGTAGGGGTGTGCGGCCCACTTCCCAAAACACTTACCCTATTTATGACCAAAATCTGCGATTTTTGCTACCCTATTTATGACCTGGCCAAAAATTTGATACCCTATTTATGACCGTTGCGGCTGGCACAGTTACCCTAAACATAAGTTATGAAGGGCTTTTGTTGACGGTCTTATTAATAATGACGAAAAAGTAGCTTCGTCTAAGGAACATACCCAATTCAAGACTAGAGTGCTAAAACCATACCCTATTTAAGACCAAAATGGCCAAAATCGATACCCTATTTATCATCAAAACGATTGAAAAACCCTACTTTTTGGGGCCGCACATACCTATACAGCCCATATAAGGGAGTACCCCCCCTCCACCCGGGCAAAACATCTAATAAGAGATTTATTATCCAACTGCTGTAGTCAATAAACTCATCAATGAAAGAGGGAGAGTGTGACAGTTTTGCGTGCGCGCGCCGACCTGTACGGCAAACAAGTTTTCCACTGTACAAATAACTGTACAATATCGCTTTATATTTGTACTGTTATTTGGACGGTATTCGCTGCAGTTGGATAATAAGAGTTGAGTGGAGGCAGCGTGGTCGAGTGGTTAGGGCGCCAGACTTGAAATCCAGAGGTCGCGGGTTCAAGTCCCGCTCTGACCACTTAGCTGGAGTTGTTTTTCGGTAGACCCTAGTTCAACTCCTCGGTCATGCTTGTAAATAGCCAACTGGTCTGCCTCCCGCCGGTTGGGATTTTTCAGCCTATTACGTTTAGTTGATATATTTGCTTCCTTCATTTAAAGTGGCATGCCTGTAAATTAGCTAGGTGTAGCTAAGCGCATTGACCACTATAAACAACAACATTTGAACATTTCAGTTGGATACTGCTAATGCTAATAGCGAATTTCATGAGGAATAACTAGTGCCCCGTGGGGTATTCCCTATAATGGCCTGTAAGGGGAGACTCCGCTCGAAAGGCGTACTTTTTCAGTACGGTAAGGAAATATGTTGTTTAGGTATTTAAAAGGGCCTTTCGAACAGATGCACCTTTTAGCTGTATCTGGTAATTCTCGATGTTCTTCTGCAATATTGTTCATCAGCTTCATTCTAAGGGTTTAGAAAAGGGATGCAGTCAGTGTTCTTTAGAGATTATGTGAAAGGGGTAACTTGTTTTCAATAAAAGGTATACGAAAGAGGTTTTCTGTCAAAATGTTATACAAAAGGGTAAGGGGTTGGATCTCGAGGCAGAGCCTACTGGGTACCCCCCGAGTCGATGCTAGGAGGATGCTAAGCTGTATTTTAAAATTTTAACTCTTCCATTAGTAAAGGCAAATTACTGAAAATGAAATTAATCTGCAGACTTTTCAGTACTGAATGATCTTTATTTCATTATTTTTCCTTATTCTTGTGATAATAACAGTAATGTTCATCCTTTGGAACACTTTTAATACATCGTTTGAATCGTTTATTCGTTCCCAAGCATTGCACGAGCTCAGATGTGCTGTCATTGAATTGATGAATTTTGCAGAAGTTACTGTTCTCCAACACCTTCGATTTACATTGATTCTGGAACCGATTTAAAGCCTGACACGTCGACAAGTGAATCTGTTCTTCCACAGTGCGTGCTCTTCGTTGAATTTCACGTTCCTTTTGTCTCCTGTTCCTCTTTTTGTGGAGTTCAGTCAGCCTTGCTTGCTGTCTTCTGAAACCTTGAATTTTATGTACATTTTTCACACCAAAGGGCTGTTGTTTACGCTTCCCTAGTTTCTTTCTGTAAAACATTTCTTTCCAATACCTCCTTTTCTTTTGGGATTTGTTCGGTAATCCACTGTTGTGTTGTTTTGAATTATTTTTCGTTGGTGAATTCATCCGCCACTTTTACTGACTGATTCAACCAGGCGCAGATGAAGAGTAGAGACTGGGGATGAATTTAGTTTTCTCGTTCCCAGAGCCCACTTCATTCAAAGAGAGAGCATGGCTGCTCATGGTACTGTTCGTGGAAAGCAAGTCTTTTGCGATGTGTGTGAAGTCACTTTGCCTTCAGGTAATAAGTACGGCTGTGAATATAATGCGTGAAGGCCGTGACAGGCTTAAGCTTTTACTGACATGGGGTTGTCACAATATGTTTTGGACAATCTGGGTAGAAGGAAAGAAAGTCCCATGAAACTTGAATCTGACCTGAAATCTGACCTCGGTTTTGTCCACGTACGTTTAGCAGAGCTTTTCCTCCTATGTCCATTCAATATCTGTAGTTCCTAGTCAAGGAGCATGGTAGGTAAGGTTAAGTCTGCATACGAGCCAACTGACCCATCAGGCGTTTCTCCGGTTTCAGGAGTATGAAGCTACTACTGAGTATTTCTACTCCCCCCTGGGTTACCCCCAACATTAAATTCACCAGTAGCCATTTATACACCTGGGTGGAGAGTGGTACTATGAGAGTACAGTATAGTGTCTTGCCTAAGAATACAACACCATGTTCCTGCCCAGGGCTTGAACCCAGGCTGCTTGAAGCATATATAGTCAAGTGCACTAAGCCACTGCTGGCGGCACCACCTAGTCAAGGAGCTCCATGTAATACAGTCGAGTTCTTATTACACAGGGTTCCACAGTACAAATATACCAAGTACTGTCAAAAAATTCACCTAAAAATCAGAGGAAGAATATATTAATTCTAGCTCATACATACATTTACTTAAATTGTTTTGCAGCCTCATTGTTGCCGACCCACAATAAAGGGAAAAAACACCAAAGGTTGTTGAACTTGAAACAGGAGAGAGAGAGCTCATCTAGAAAGAGTATTTACGTTCGGGGTTTTCAGAACTCTGGATCCATTGAAGAAGACTTGGCTAAATACTTTAATGCTTATGGAAAGGTCTCAAACATATTCTTGGACAAAGATAAGGTAAATATTTCAAACACGAAGATCATCACTTTGCCATTTTGTGGCATTTTAAAACCTAAATATGGCATGGTGTTGTCAATTTGCCTGGTGCCCCGCCTTAATGAAACCCCTAGTATTGTCATTTGTTTTTCTTTTTTTGTGATGGTTACTGATGCACACAGCTTTGAACAAGTACTTCTTTTAAAAAATTCACCATCTTTATTAACTCAAGTACTTTTTGGAAAATCGTAGAATATAATTTAATATAATTTAGTCACAGTGGCCTAAATTATAATTAATTATTACTTGGCCTGTCAGTAATATTTATTATTTCAGTCTGTACCATGCTCACAGAGCAGAAGTATGAAGTATTATGCTGCTGTTTATAAAGCATGGAAAATAAAATGATGTTGTCTTTCCTCATTCCATTTGTAAGGTTTGTATTTGGAATGTTCATTGGCAACATATATGAAAAAAAAAATGTGAATAATGTTTACTGTTAGTAATTTGCCAAGTGGACAGCAGCTAAAGAAATGTATCGGCAAGGAAGTGGTGTCTTAAATTAGGAACTACATTACTAGCGTACTTCTAGCTTCATGCATTACATGAATTGAATGATGTTCAGTTTAACATTGAACCCTTGGCACCCTTAGATTCTCTTTTTGTCAATTTTGGGAGTGAAAGGTTCGATTTTTGTTTCTTCCTTTTCAAGGGAGTATTTGCTATCGTGGAGTTTGCTGATGAAGAAAGCGTAACTGCCGTACTGACTCTGGAATCCCTACCTCTCTTTAATGGCAAACGGCTAACAGTGAAAGAAAGAACTGTAAATAAAGCAGCCCTTCAGGTTAAGGTGCAAAAATCAAGGAAGCGTAAACGCCATGACTCACAACAAGACCCAGAAGGCCAGCATGATAACAAAGAGATGGCTTCATTTTTGTCTGAGGATCTCATGACCAAACTCAAGTCATCTCCTACAGTAGGTGGAAGTTGCATCCTTGTACATATATCATCACCTGGATGATTATGAAAGCATTGATTTTCTTTCCTCGTAGCTTAGTTTAAGATAAGGTTAGGTAGTACTATTTTCCATACCAAGCAAGGCTGTTGCTTGTAATTTTCTCAGTTGGAGCTGGTGCTGAATGGCATTTGAAGAAACAGTAAGGACAGAGATAATAACAAGCTTGCTTGCATAAACTTAGTACCTAAAGTTATGTTGAATTTTGAGATCTCAGTGTCGTACAGTTGAAACCTGCTATCTTGATGAGAAATTGTCAGGGATGTCAGGGGGTGTGTGTGTGTATGAAGGGGGGGGGTGGCTTGAAGTAGAAGATATTAAATGACTGAAATAGTATATTCTAGGGAAAATGATTTTAGTTTGAGATATGAAGGAGTCTGAGATAACTGATTTCAAGATAGCGAGGTTCTGTTGTATTTCTTCAGGAAATGTATAACAATAGCAGTGAAGATCAAAATCTAGTAACTAAAGGTGAATCTCTTGGTTTGTAAATAATGTATACGTGCACTCACCCTCTTTATTTAATAACATTTGAATTTTATTACTATTTGTTTACAGGTTGAGGAACAATTAAATTTGTTGATGCAGCACTTGTGTTTAACTGATGAGGACATCAAGTTAAGAAGGCTGGTTTGTCAACTGTTACAAGAAGTGTTTGCTGAAGTGTATCCTGGTGCATCAGTGGTACCTTTTGGTTCTACTGTTAGTGGGGTTGGCTGGAAAGGAAGTGACTTGGATGTCTGCTTACTGACAAGTGTTGCGCCATCTCAGTGTGAAGAGACTGGTGTTGATTACTCTTTAGTTATTGACATGTTGCGTAGCTTTGCTCCAGGCTGTACAAACATCATACCAGTCTTGACTGCTAAATGTCCTCTTGTCAAGTTCACACACCAGCCATCTGGCCTGTCATGTGATCTGTCTGTGAATAACAGGTATTTGTGATGTTCTGACTAACACTTACTAAAATCAAATGGGAGGTTTGTATGGGTTAAGTATTTTTACTTAAATTGTGAGCGCATTCTAACTGAAGGAAGTCAACTGAAGTATCTCTCATGTAGACTAGTCATTACAGTTGCAGAACTAGGGAAGGGGCCATAAAGGTTAAGTCCATTCCATTTAATAAGACCAGAGGTGGATAAGACTGGATATGTGGCTTATCCATGCTGCTGCATCAGGTAATTACATACTAAACTGCTACTCCTGGATGGGATGTTTTCCTTGCATATTACTTTCTTGTAGTTTTTCAAGTTGTACTTGCCAGTTCTCATTCACAAGGTGTGGTGGCTCATGGCTAGTATTCAGGGCTTCAGATTGAGTAGTCAGGGTTTATATGTGGAGCAAGTTTTTGGCTAGACAGTCACCGGTAACTCTCACAGTACCTCTCTCTACCCAGGTGTATAATGAACCCAGGCAATAGTCATTTCCTGGCCTCTCAAGAAAGAAATCGTGTACCCTCAGGCCATCGGAGCATATAAGATATCATTTTGAGCACTTCACCACTTTTCATTTCTTTTCAGGCTTGGTGTTGCAAACTCTGATTTTCTTCACTGCTACATGTCCCTTAATCCCAGGGTCCCTCAGCTGGTGTTTATTGTGAGAGCCTGGGCAAAAGCCAAGGCTCTCACTGCCGGAAGACATTTGACAAACTATGCACTGACCCTCATGGTGTTGTACTTCCTGCAGACACAGAACCCAGCTGTTATTCCCTCCTTGCAGCAGGGATTTGACTCATGGATAAAAGAACAATCAAATTCATGTAACAATGAAAGTTATGGCCACCATGAGTCGCTTGTTCAAGAGCTTGAGTCCAAGATGATTGACAACTGGAACTGTTCATTCTTCGCAGATGTTGCCAGACTTTCTTCATCAAGTAACAACAAAAGTCTGAGTAAGTAATAAATATTGATATATGTTTGGCCCAGTTTAAATGGAAGTTTTTAATTAAATGAATAGAGCAATCATTGTTAACAGGTCAAGAGAGTAAAGAAACTGATCACATTTACATGTATATGTAGGTATGGTTAAGTCTGCACTCCAGCCCTGCGGCCCATCAGCATGTAGCATGTATCATGCGATTAGAACTATCTTTCTACCCCTTTTCTACTAGTCCATCACATAGCTCTCCTACCATGAATTCTCTGGAACCTATTTAATAATTAATTGTGGTAATAATTTTAATAATATAACAATAATTGTTATTATTAGAGGCATGCCTTATTAATTTAATGCACACCTAGGCATCTATTACTCAAAGCTGGACTGCTTGATCTGGAGGCTAGCCCAGTTATCCATTAGGCCACCCACCTTGCAATGTCATGTTAAATATGTACTGGAATGTAATCAAATTCTACCAAGTGGCTAAGTCATTGAGTCATTATGATCCTTGTTGAATCTTTGATTGCATTTTATACAATGAATCATATCCTTCATTCAATGGTAAGTTGTGTGAGAGTTGTTATTACCGTGCTGTTAGTAATTATTGTCTTTTCAACAGGTCAGCTACTGGAGGAGTTCTTTTACTTCTTTTCAACTGACTTTGACTTTGCTAATTGTGTGGTCAGTATAAGACATGGTCATAGCACGAGCATTACGTCAGTGTTAGAGGAGTTAAAGGGTGCAGATTATTTGAAAACAGCTGAGGGCAGAAGCTCTGTCACAATGAAGGATGACCCAACTTGTGAAAAACAATCAACAAGTGAAATTATTTTATTAACGGAAAAAATTACTGAACAACAGAACATTCCACCAAGTTCCAGTATTACAAGTTCTCAAAGTGGTTCAGGGAGCAGCAAGCGAACAGAGTTTAAGGTCTCTCCTATGTGTGTTCAGGATCCATTTGAACTTGTACACAACTTGACGCAGAACATAACTGTTTCAGCACTGAAACATATTATTGAATTGATGAAAACCGCCCATAGGATTTGCACCAATCTTAATGGCAGTGGTGATATTCCAAGTAGCAATACAAGCAAACTGCTTCATTTGTTGACAGTTTGTCGATATTCCAAGAAAAGAAAGAGTTCTCACTGCCACTCTTTCTTTGTTGAGTATCAAAACATCAGTCTGCAAGCATTTGCTGGATCACGCAATGTCAAGTTAACTACACCCGGGGAAATTTTTGTTTTTATTATAGATTCTTTAGAAAGAGAATTTGGATTCAAATGTAAAAAGAAATCACGCAACAGTGAAAAGGATTCAGACTCAGCACAGGCCACCCAACCAGTCAAAGTGTCACAGGCATCCCACTTTCTTGAAGATGCCCCTGCAGGACGTTGTACAGACAATGGAAAGAACTCTAATGCCTTTGAAGAGAGAGATCAAGCTAGAAAATCAGAAGAAAATGATCAAATTGAGGATAATTTATCAGCCATTTGCACTGCTTTTGAGAATACATGGACGCATTGTCGCAGAGAAAGACGCAAATCATTACAACCTCAGAGACTGCAAAGAAATGACAAGGGGGAAACTGCTGGAGAAGATTCATTGCTGGAAGACAAATCAGAGCAAATGTATCCAGGGAAATTTGGGGAGCCCACACTTCAGATTTCATCATCCTGTCAGCAACCTGAAAAGTTTGCAAATGTCCCCATGGTTGCCTCTCCGCTTCTTATTTTTCAGCTGACTGTCAACAGTTCACCTGGAAAGGACTCGAAATGTGGTTGTACTGTCTCAATGGAGCATGCTGAAAGTAGCGACTTCCAGCTGTTTGGGAACTTCTTCTCAGCTTACAAGAATTACTTCATGGGCTTGATGATAAAGTAAACAAATAGCTTGTTACACTTCACTTCTGGAGTGCTGAGGTTCATTGTTAAAAAATATTTCCAAATTTATACTTTTGGCAGTTATTGAACGTCATACAAATAGTACCATTGACAGATCTTCTGAATAGCTTTAGTATGAACCCTATAAATATCATCCTTGTCCTTTTCGAACGCTTTCCGGATAGTAAACTTCCCTTCTGTCCTCTTTGCCATGTTAAAACAGGGTTCAACCAATTATAAAAGGCGCTTTATCGAGAAAATACGGCAAGTAGAAATTTTCGTAGTCTTAACTGACAGAGGATTGAAACCCAGATGTTGTATAAGCCGCCATGAAACCTTGCTAATAATCTCTCTTCCAATCCGACTGGAAGCAATGGTCACATGAGTGACCATCGCTCACGCGGATAAATAACTTCATATGGACAGGTCATAAATAAACATCACGAACGATTACTACACGGATCAGGACGTGACTCCTTTCAAACACAAGAGTGCCTTCTCAATAAAAACAAACAACGCTCAATCCATAGAAAAAACCAAGGAGTGGATGAAAGGCATAGACAACTAAAAGGAACTAAATCATCAGGAACGAATCCTCCAGGGAAACAGAGTTGGATACGCGCATGCCTTA